CAAAGCGAGATCAGGTTGATCTCNGGGACGCTGTCGATCTATGAAACGATGCAAGCGACGATTCGCTACCTTCTCGGATCGTTTTGTTTCTGGCATCGGACTACATTCAAGACACAGATTTGTGCTGGCAACGGTGTTCGGTCTCGTTTCATGAACCGTCAAAGCCTTCCGAAAAACCAGGATTAAGAGGAAGCGAATGATGTGGTTATTGGGTTTTGGAGGCCCCACCCGAGTGTCGAAAAGTCGTTGTTTTATGGCCCTATTCAAGTGTCCTTTGGTATGGAGAAGCTGATTGGTCGTGCCCCTCGCAAACGGCGTCATCGTTATGTTGCAAAACATGGGGGTCTGATTGAATTGACCCGGGCAAGTAAGTAATGCACGAATACGGAAACATTCTGAATCAGACCTTGAAGAAAAACGCGGTTTGTTGACGTGTGGGGTAAACGCTCTCAACGTACCAGAGCCGGGTGTTGGGATTTAGTAGAAAGGAAAAGGCTTTGAGTGGAAAATGTAGCTGGCTTCTCAGGCGGAGTGTCTTGATGCTTCTTCCCCCCGTCCTCCTCATCTTTCAATCATCCATCATCTGGTTTTCCTCGTTAACTCTTCCCCGCATGTTGAGTGTGATATTTAGTGATAACTAGTTCGTATCGCAAATTCCAACACACATGCTACTATTGGCAGAATACATTGGAAGGATTCAAAAATTACTCGTTGCAGCAGTTAACAACACAAGCCCAGGAACCTCTTTTGCAGCCAATGTCCTCAACGGGCAGAGAATTATAAAGACCACAACCTCCTCCATGAGTGTTCAAACACCCTCCAAAAAGGGTGTCGGGACATTTAAGGCAGCGTGGTTTCCGATCTGCGTCTGGATCACACTGAACGCACTGCAAAATTCGACATCAGGAAGGATACATTAGGCTGTCAACAGAAGACAAACCTTCTGGTCAGCACGCTTATCCAATGAATTACCACCAGCTTGGAGTGACTCCACACGGCCCTGCCAGAGTCGATACAGGGTCAGTCGCCCACCATGATAAAGTGGGTGTGCGTACTCACATTCGGAATAGTTGGAGTAGCATGAACAATGACGGCTACGCTGAGAGCGATGAAAGATAGGAACAAAGTCTTCATGATGAACGCGTGAACTGGATGGATTCTAGTTCGTGAAGTTCGCCATTTGTCCAGAGCTCCTTAAATATGTGTGTATATGTGACTTTTGTGGATTAGTCTGAGTCGAACGTACGTCTTGCTTGGTCCACGTTGAACGTGCTCTCTTCTCTTCGCTTTGATCCCGTGCTTCAATATGATGTCCATAATCACTCTAGTATTCTTCTCGTCTTCATACACTAGTAAATAAAATCTTTAACAGCTCATGCCAACTTCTTTCATTAGACTTACTATGTTGGCTCTCTTTGCCTTGGCGGTAGATTTGTAGCCATCTCTCTCCCTTGGCCTGCTCTTTCGCGAGAACTGGCGATCTGTGCCAATGAAGGATTCCCTACTGCGTAGATCGATCATGAAGTAGATGCTTTCGAACGGCAAGCTCCCACTCATGACATAACTGCTTTTCCCCTCAGTGCTACTCTTCGTCTCCGGAGTCCGTGATCCCCTTCTTGCATTGACAAGCGACTTGAAGCTCCCGACTTCTAGTCCCAACCGTCATGGAACCACAACGCCTTCCTCCTCGGGTCCCTTCCCCAATTCGTGACCCAGACAGCCTAGTGGAGCCTCCAACGCAACCTAGAGCTAATACCACTGGGAAAGATTCAGGAGCCCAGCAGCCGCAGCTCGCTACCACACCACCTCGCAGTATCTCCACCGTAACCTATCACCAGGTTCGGTAGAAAAGCGGGAGAACGAGGACCCCCGAAAATCCTGCAATAGGCTAGATATGTGGAAGGCGCGCTTCTGTACGAGGAAGCCGGCTCCCAACGTTCATAGTGTGCAAAAATGACGCAATTGATGTGCCGTTTGTCGGTAAAACATCCATGGTCATATTTCAACTTCCAGCGGGTACCATGACGAGTCGTTGTGTTTTGGGCAAGAATCGATCAGACCGGAAGCTAACCACAAGGTCCCCTGTCAATACATTGATGCAGATAAGACAGTTGCAGGAAGACATACTATAATTCTCGGAGGCAAAGTGTTGCGTGGTCAACGCTTCAGCAGCTGGGTAGCTGACCTCGAGAACTCCCTCTCATAAGGTATCGACCCTCCGCCCCGGTTTGAAGTTGGGTAGATCTGTAATCTCTTGGGGCCTTGCACTAGCTTCAATTAGACAGTCTCCAGAAAACTGAAAGTCCTCGACAGACAGCAAGGATCGGAGCGAGTCTATCTGGCAGCTTTCAATGACAGTGGTCGATGTTGAGGATGTGTTTGGACATTCGGTCATTCGATGGGGATCTAGCGGTCGTGGTAGTGCCAGTGGCAAGCTTCGGTATGGAGAAGCTGATTCATCGTGCCCCTCGCAAGAAGCGTCATCGTCATGTTGAATCTTGCAGAACACGGGGGTCTGATGGAATTAACCCTGTGAGCGAATACGAAAACAGACGGCGTCAATCCGAATCAGACCTTGAAGAGAAACGGGGTCAAACGACTTGTGAGTGGTAAACGCAGTCAACGTACCATACCGGCTCCGAGAAAGGCTGCACGAAGGGCGGAAAGCGTCGCTGGTTGTTCGATGTTACGGGCGCAAAGTTCGCCAATGACGAGGGACAAATGCCACAAAGTCCTAAAAGGCGTCAATAACTACGATGCTATGTCGAATTAGCGCCTTCAATAAGAATATTAGTTCAAGTTGGCGGGGAGTCGGGGACGGGCTGAGGACTACAGACTACACACCTTCACAACATCCCCCATATCCTTCATTCTTCTTCCTGAATGACATTTTGAAAGCGTGGCGTCTTCAGAGTGATCATACACGCTGATTTTTGATCTTTTGCGGGGACTCCAGGTGCTAAGTCGTTGCTCATCTATTTCAACATAAAGGTCAAGTTGATTACTGAAATCAGAGAAACCAGATACATACCTCCTCACAAAACTCGATCCGGCTAGTCGTTGCTACGATTCTCGGCTCATGAACGGTGGTGGCGATGGTTCAAGACAAACGTTGAGCAACACTGATTTTTTTTGATCAATGCCAACCTTGCCCTCGACCGTCATCATCTTCGCAATACTTGCCAGCTTCCTGCACTGCGGCTACCAGGGAAGTGGGTCGTCCTGGGCCTCCGCTCTCCCTAGGTGAGTATTTACATTATTAATTGAAGGTATAAGTTATGTAACGCGGGGTCAGCCATGCAGATTCCAAGCCAATGTTACTTTGAAGTCGATTAGTACCCTCGTCGACGCCGACTCGACGGGTCGGTGATATCTCCTTCGAGTCCTCGTTGCGTCCGGAAGCTTCTCCACTGCACGCTGGTCTCAGTCCACACACGCCGAAACTACACTCAGCGCGGTGTCCGAGACGAATACCGGGTATTTTATGCTCTATGTCGTAGGTACGACCATACATTCATTATTTCTCCCGATTGAAACACTCATTATCTTCAGATATTCTCGTCTCTCCCCACGACTCGGAAGTCGGGAGCTTCAAGTCGCTTGTCAATGCAAGAAGGGGATCACGGTCTTTGAGTATCACTGTGTGTTTGCACAGAGATTGAGCCTAAATGGAGATGCAGGAATGACACTTAAAATCGATTGATTAGAGGTAGTATTTGTAATGAGCGATAATAGCGAATGAATAAATATGTAGATAAAGGCAAGCAAGTGGGCGAAAGCGCGAAGCGCTTTCCGATCTGGCAAAGAGTCTCCCGGAGGGTCCGAGGCGATCTGCGACGGGCGGGTGGGCCCGTCTTGCGGATGCACTCGGGCCATCCGAAAGACTATGTTGCCAGTCAAAATGCTAAAGTTTTGGGAGTGGAGGGTGGGTGAAAAATGAGGAAGGAGCTAATGAACTCCTTCTGTGTGGCGAACGAGGTGGTGGTAAGAAGAGAAAACGGCACGTGCCGCACCACTCGTTCGCTCAAAGACCCTATTCTAACGCTACACTCGTTCCTCGCTTCGCTAGCGAATCTCAATCTTTGAGTATCACTGTGTGTTTGCACAGAGATTGAGCCTAAATGGAGATGCAGGAATGACACTTAAAATCGATTGATTAGAGGTAGTATTTGTAATGAGCGATAATAGCGAATGAATAAATATGTAGATAAAGGCAAGCAAGTGGGCGAAAGCGCGAAGCGCTTTCCGATCTGGCAAAGAGTCTCCCGGAGGGTCCGAGGCGATCTGCGACACCCATGGCATCTGGAGTCTTCGACGCGGCGAGTGAGTCTCGGACCCAACCCATTAGGAGAAGCTCGGATGCTTACCTTGTTAGCGCACTGCTGGCATGGTCAAACGGACGAACGTGTCGTGTACGGCTGGCGCTGCTTGTATGTATGGGGCGAGAATTTGTGCATGTTTTCGTAGATACAGGGTGAAGGCGTCACTGGACCAACGACCCTTCACCTTCATGACATCGAAAGGCACGCCTCTGAGCAAATATTCGAGTGTAGAGCCAATTCTGATGCCATGCCCTTGCAGGGGCTCCAGGCCAGCTGCACGTGCGGCCTTCGCCAGTTCCGCTAGGAACTTGGACTTCGTGAGCGGCCGGTGGCTGTTCTTGTGGCGGTATGCGAAAAGGTGGCCTTCCTGGGGAGGGTTGTTGACCTCGAGATGATGGGCTAACGCCGCATTCGGGTCTATGGGCCCTGCCTGTTTTGCCCAGCATACGTCTTCCCCTTGTGGCGCTGACTTGGTGTGTGGCAGGTGTAAAACCGTGACTTGTTGCCCTTCTCTGTTCTGGTCGTAGCTGACACGGGCCTTGGAGACATGTATGCTGGGGTCAAAGATGTCGAGCTTTTGGACTGTGAATTCTCCAACGCGACCGGTTGCAAAGAAACAGGTCGTTAGGCAGGCGAAGACGGCAGCTCCGAGGGGGGTGTCCAAGGCTAGGTTGTTCCGGATGGCCAGCATGAAATCAATTGTATAGGGTCGCCGCTTCTTTCTCCTGGAGGAAGAGGGGGTTAACTTTTCAGCTGCTTTCAAAAGGGCCTCCAGTTCGGGTTTGTCAATCTTCCATGGAACACCATGTAGTAAATGCCATGCACGTACACCGTAGACATAGTTGCTGATTGCTGAGCCAGAGTATGCAGCAGCTAGAGTAGACACAAAGGACATGATTAGTACTTGGCTGGCTGGGGCCCTGTCTTTTTCAGGGATGTTCTTCTGGTCGCAAAAAACCATGAAGTTGAGGAGGCCAGAGGCATATGTTGCGTGTGTATCCAACTCCCATGCATAGGCTAGGACGTCTTCAATGCGCTTGATGTCTTCATCCGACATTTGAGCGGACCTCTGGGCACGAGGCACTAGTGGGCGCCATAGGCGTAGTCTTTGGTTGGCTGGGCAATGCGGTCGAAGGGGTGAAGGGAGAGGAGTAAGATTCTTGCGGTATGGTGCAGGTCGTGGACGCTTATCCGAGGCTGGGGCTGGGAGCTGAGCATTCCAGGCTCGACGTTCCTGGTTAATCGTATGAGGAACAGGAGAGGAATTCCTCCCCCCGGC